CATCCACTTCTTACTGCCCTAAATATTTGTCCATAAAGGTAGAATTAATTCCCTGCTAGCTGGAGCAAAACTGTGGGCAGGGTTTCAGATGAGTGTTAGTTGCCATGCACAGGTACAGAGTGACATTCCATTACGAATGTGTCAAAGGCATGTTAATCAAGTGTCTGCCTTGTGGTCAACTAGACACTCAGACGTGTGCACAAAGAAAAGAGATAATGAACTGAAGGAGAAATAAAAATAAGTTCTCACCAGATTTTAAAAATAACATTAGCAATATTAGCTTCCCTCACCTGGATAGTAGCAAACTCTCCACCACTACTAAAAATACTTAAAATGTGCATTAACAATAATCGTTTATACCTAAAATGTAATCAAATTGTGATTGGTTCACTTTGCTTAAATATAGGAATAGTAATTTAGCATTCTCTCCTCTCACCCACAACTGGGATAACAAGCAGTGCTGTGCAGGACCCCATGAACTGCCTGAGTGCTATTTTTTCTGACATAGAGATAGCTTTTCTCCATCCCCTACTTCCACTCTGGACTCAACCAAATGCTTTCACACATTTATACGCCAATTTGCACTTGTAAATGCAAGTGAGCAGGAACTGTATTTCTTGTACTTGGGATCAGAGATTTTTTTTCCTAAAAAAGTGTTTATTTTTAGTTCAATTTCTTAACTATATATTCCACATATCACTAGTTTTGAATACATATAATCATATCATCTTTGCCTTTTTTCTCCTTTTCTTGCTTATTCCCTTCTTTGCTTCTTTTCCCCTTATTTTGACTACACCCCGACTAAAATCCATGTTTATACCTATTGGAGTCTTTCCTATTCTCTTTTGTACTCACAGCAATGTACAGGTAGATCTATGAGCACAAACAGCAGTCTCCCCTGGTCTACAATTTCTCTTTCCACAGTTTTGGTTATCTTTAGCCAATCTCAGTCTGAAAATATTAAATGGAAAATTTACCAAGCCCATAGGTTGCTTTTTTTTTTTTTAGTGCTGGGGTTTGAACTCAAGGTCTCACAATTGCAAAACAGACATTCTAACCACTTGAGCCACATTCCCAGACCTTAACTCATAAGTTTTGGGTTGTGTACTCTTCTGATCAGTGTGATGAAAACTCATGACTTTCTGTTCCTTCCCACCCAGAATGTGAAGCACCCCTTTGCCCAGCATATCTGCACTATAAATGTCACCTGCCCTTTTGTCAATTGTCACCATCTCAATTACATGATTACTGTGTTTCTGTTCAATTAACCCTTATACAGTAGTCTAATACTACATCACAAGGCCTATGTCATCCACCTGCCTTCATTTCATTCACTTCACTTCATCTCATTAAGTAGGCATTACATCACCTCATATCACCACAAGAAAGGTGAATACAGTGCAATAAGACATTTTGAGAAAGACAGAATCCATATTCATGTAACTTTTATTATAGTATATCATTATAATTGTTACATTTGATGATAGCTGTTATTTCTCTTATTGTGCCTAATTAAAAAATAAAATGATCATATCATGTGTATAAGTAGGTTTCAGTATTATCTGCAGTTTGAGGCATCCTCTGAAGGTCTTGGAGTGTGTCCCCCATAGATTAGAGGGACTACTGTATAGTTACAGGCACAGAGTCATATGTAAATTCTTCTATTTTTTTCTAACTCAGTTACCTTTCTTGAAGTCATCTGGCATAGGTTTAATTCATTCTTTTCTTTTCTGGCAGTACTGGGAATTGAACTCAGGGCCTCGTGTGTGCTAGGCAAGTGCTCTACCACTGAAGCCTTGACCCCAGTCCTCATTCATTTTTAAAATAGCTATTATGCAAATATGTTCAACCATTCCACTACTAAAATGTTTTTGTCACTATAAACAGTGCTGTAATTGATTACGCCTACCTATGTAAGATGGATTGTTTTTGGTGGTGGTGGTTCTGGGTTTGAACTCAAGGCCTTGAGCTTGTGAGACAGGTGTTCTTGAGCCACACTCCCAGCTCTTATTTGCTTTTTATTTTTCAGGTAGAGTCTTCCACGTTTCCTGGGGCTAGCTTCAGACCTAATCCTCCCTATCTCTGCCTCCCAAGTAGCTGGGATTATAGAGGTAAGCCACCTTGCCTGGCCTTATAAACTAGTTTGCAAATATCTTTGATAGAGTTGCCTAGGACTGAAATTGTTGGGTGAAATGGAATATGTATTTTTATTATTAACAGATGTTGCCAGATTACTTTCTAAAAAGAGTATAAAATTGCACACTCATGTAAGCAATGTATGCTTTTTTCTGCATACATGTTGGCAAAAGACATTAATTTTTTTCAAATTTTTGCCAGTCTGGTGGATATTACTTTGATTTGCTTCTATAGTCTACTAGAATTTAAGTATGTTTTCATGTGATTACAGGTCACTTTGATGTTCTATCTTGTTAATTGTCTTTTCATATTCTTTGTATGTTTTCTATTGCTTACATTACATGGTCAGTTTATAAGAGATTGCTTTTTGACTTTCTGTGTTAAACCTTTACCTATGATCTATGTTTTGAATAATTTTCCACATCTGCCTTTGTCCAATGATTTTATTTGGGATTTTTTGGTCAGATATTTCTATTTTGTCATTTGGTTATATAAATAGCCATTGTGGGTTTTGGTATATTCATATAGTTTTCATGTTCTTTTACAGTTTCAGAATTGACAATCTAAGTCTGTCTGATTTTTTTCACAAATTATCTTATAAGATTTTTATGTTTTATATTAATATTTGTTCCATTTGAAATTTATGACTGTGTGTGGCATCAGATGAGGGTCACCTTCTAAATTTTCTCCCAGTTGGAGAGCCACTCGTTCTGGCATTACTTATGTAAAAAAGTAAAACAGAAATCCAAAAGCCAAAAAAAAATCTACAGTTACTCTAGTTTCACTAAAATCTGACATCTGCTTCTGGATTGTCTTGTGTTCCACTAAATATTTTTGTAGGGTGTTCTGGTACCTGCTCCTGATAGAAAATATTCTTACTTATTTCCTTTTTTTTCTTTTTGGTGGTACCGAGGTTTGGACTCAGGGCCTCATACTTGCTATTGCTACTCAGGTGCTCTACTACTTGAGTCATACCTCCAGTCTACTATTATTATTTTTTATTATTGTCAGCAAATGATTATTTCAAGTGAACTTTAAGAATGTTTTATCCAAGTTCAAAACAAAAACAAAAATTCCACAAAACTCCACTTAGATACTGATTAGAAATGTATTGGAATTTTCATGTTCAATATTGATCAATATGATCAATATGAAAATTGGTCAACAATAATTGTCTACATTTATGGGGTAAATGTGATGTTACGATGTATGTATATACTGTAAAATTGTTCAGTCATGTTAGATAGCATATCAATCACCTGATATACTTAGCACTTCTTTGTGGTGGGAGCATTTAGAATCTACTCTTTTAAGCTGGACATGGTGGAGCATGCCTGTAACCCCAACACTCAGGAGGCTGAAGCAGGAAGATTTTGAGTTTGAGACCAGCTGCTACACAGCAAGATCCTGTCTCAGAAAACCCAAAACTGAAAGCAATAAAACAACGTCTCTTTTAGCTGTTTCAAAGTATCTAACATGTTCCTATTATCAATAGTTGCATATTGTGCAATCAGTCATAAGGCATTCCTCTAACCGAAATTTTGTGACCTTTGACGAACACCTTGGAAGACTTTGAAAAATATATGTGGAAACTTCACATTCAAGACCAAGTTTGCCTTTTCATTGCTTTCTTGTGTCTTTTATTAGAACTTAGTAGCTGCTTTATATAGGTTTCATGTCTTGTTTGTAAAAATTTAGTTTGACCTTTCATAGTTTAGTCACTATTGTATATGAAACATTTTTCTTATTTCTATTTCTAGATGCTTAGTGCTACAGAAGATAAAAGCCATTGATTTTCATGTATTTATGTCCTATCTAGCCATCTTAGAAAGTTTTATTAATACTGTGCCTTTTCCCCACTTGCATTTGGTAAGTTTTCTACATACACAATCATAATATTATTGAAATACATGGTTTTACTTCTTATTTTAAGTGTCTATAACCGATATTTCCCCTATATTGTACATTTCCCCCAATCTTTAAATCAGTGCTTTTTTTCTAAGGATGGTGATAGTAGTCTTTTCTAATTTCTGATTATATTTCAATTTAACTTTTTTTCACTTGAGCTGTTGTTTGGGAGAAAACAATCTTTATTATAATTGAGGAACTTTTCCTACTTTTGCTCAAACTCTTTTTAAAAATAGCTGCTGAATTTTATCATGTACCTTTAGTCACTATTGACTCGATTGCCTCATTTTTTTCCTCTCAATTTAGGCAGACTTCCTTCTATTGATACTCTTGTAAATTCCAACAGAAATGTTTACCAAAATATGTCAAATGTTCTAGCCATAATTTAATAAAAGGGCTCTTTGATCAAGTTAATTTGAGAAGCACTGGGCCAAACAAAGTTAACTGGTGCTTCCTGGAATCTTTAAAGCTAATATGCATTGTCCATCTTCAAGAGAAGATCAGAGTACAAAGTGTTAAGTGAATTTTACTGGATGGTCCATCTCTCATGGACCATCCATGGGACTAGATTATTGCAGAGCAAAACTTTGGGGAAGGCATATGTGGAGATCATAAGCTAAGATCTGCAAGTATTTTCAGCACTTTAGACCAGTGAAATCATTGTGATGCATTAAAAGTCACAACTATAAGATGCCACACTATTGTTTAATTTAGTCAAAGAACATTTTATACCAATTGGGCATATTTTATTTTTACTGCATTTTCACCAGGGTAGTCCTAAATCATTGATGTATGGCATGATGAAACACATCATACAGCACAGGTGACCCAGGGACTGAGTGTGGTCCCTGAGCTAGTCAGTGTTCAATATAACGCTGTGTATAATGCAAGTGCACAGTACCCGCCCCTCTCTGCAGTGCGACCCACCATGACTAGGGCTTGCACGTGGCACTCACCAATGACATATTCCACTCTGAAATGATCCTTCCTGGGATCATATGGACGATTGAAGTCAATCTGGATGTAGAAAGACTGCCCTCTGCGGACAATCAACTTGTTGTTGTCATACTTGTCTGTGTGGTGATCAATTTTGTTGGTGTCCCATTTCTCCTTGAACAGGTGAACACCTGTGACATTAAGGTAGTCTGGACAAGAAGAGAAGAAAACAGTTGAAGGAAACCATGAAGTAACTTTGGTTTGCATGCAAACTCAAAAACAAGGTTAATTTTTCTGAAGATGGAAGGGAGCAATGTCTTAGAAGAAAAATCTATATGGGGAGGGAGGAAATAGCAGATGTGAGTTAGCCTCTTGTAACATTCTTGCTTTGAAAGAGTATTTAAGCTTTTTCCAACCAGGATCTCATTTCAGATCACAGGACACCACTTTGGGAGAGACAGATGCCTAGCTTATAGATCTAGACACAGAGAAGGCAAGGCCAGAGGCCAAGTCTTCAGATTCCCTCTCCTGCTGGGTCTTGTTATGCTCAGCTCTCCCATCATGACTCTGCCTCACTATGTAACACAGCCACTTCAATTTTCCCATCTCTCAAAAGAGAGAAATCAAATCTGACAAAGCCTCAAAGGGATGTTCTGAGCACAAAGTTGGCCATTAATCCAAAATTCTCCTCTCACCTCAGGAAGGGTCAAATGTCTCCTCCTGTAATTCTAAAAGTAGATCTGGTCCCTCAAAGGCAGGAAAGGGAGGGAACAGGTCTGCAGAAAAGGATCCAACATTTCTATGAGACAAGGTATGCCTCCTTCCATTTCCTCAGGCATCTCCTTAGCTACTGAATGACTGACTTGCACATCAAACCCTGGTCTGTCTGGTACCAAAATTCCAGGCTTTTCCTCCATCTTTTGGAATGAGGCATACACACAAAAGTTATATGTTTACTAGTCTTCTAATTTTGTATACATTGCTTAAACTCATTTCCTCATCATAAAAGGAGGACATCAACATTTGTTTTACAGACTAACAGCTTACAACCTATTGCAACACAAATGAAGTTAACGTGAAAGGGTCTGACACAGGATAGTTCTGCGTGGAGGTGAGTTTCCCTTCTGGTCCTTCCACCAATGATCATTATGGGAAGATAATGTGAACTACACATTTATACTGTGGTTTAGAAGGCTGGTTCCACAGGGCTGCTGGAGGGAGAAGTTTGTGTGGGGTGCCCTGATCTCCTGCTCTCCTTCCTCCTCCCTCATGGCTATAAACATAGTACTCTCAGAGGACACAGTACACTGCTGAGCTTCTGCCTATGTGGAGGCATTGTCTTATACTCTAAAGACATCTTTGCTTTGACGTAGTAATCCTGTGCAGGACTCCTGGTTCCCTGAATTTCCATTTTCTCTTTGGTTTCTTCTTAAATCAAGAAGTTGGGCTCTTTATGATTCTTTCTAGACTAAAGTCTAGGAGTCCTGAAACCCTCTTGATAAATTCAAAGTTCATCAAAACCTAAGTTTGAATTTCAGGTTTCAAAATTACTTAGGGAAGGTCCTTTACCTTTCAGACTCAGGTGAGTTTTCTCACCTTTAAAATGAGGCTGCTAATAACCTTGAGAACTTCCATGAAGACTCAGTGATATGTGATGCCATGAGCCTGGCACCACCCCTGGCACACAGTGGGGTTACAGTCATATTATGCTCATGGCACAGGAACTCTGATGGGCCACTTCTTGTGGCCTGGTGCTCCCTGGGTTACTCAGACTGTGGCATTGTAGCCAACAAAGTACAAGATGGAGCTTTATTTTTACCTTACCCCAGAACCTAGTCGTAGTACATGGGCCCCTGAAGGGCACTTTCTTCCCACTAGGCTGTGGGCTGAGATGTTTAATTTCCTAGGCCTCTCTTTTCCAAGCCTTCTTTCTCCTAAGTTCTCTGGCTTTATTAAGGTCAAAATCCCTTGTGTTAAACAAGTCTAAGAAGGAGCTGGGGAATCATAAGTGCCCTAGGTTGAAAACAACTTTAGTGATCAGATTTTCTGGTGCAGAGACTTTAATAATTAGAAAAAACTTAAATCCTCAGAAATGGGTTTCATCAGTTCTCCATTTATCAGCACCCGTGGAAAGAATATACCAATATACAACCTCACAGACTCACTGAAGGCAAAGGCACTTTCTGAGACATCTGGTATACCTGCCGTGTCTGTGGGGTATGAGCCACATCTATGAACATATTGTACTTGGGGCTTCAAAGCCTCTGACTAAGCAGAAAGCTCACTAACTGACTGACAGGGCAAGCCAACTGTTTTTAAACAACTCTAATCCTCTTAAGATGAACTGACATCTGCTTCCCTGTAATTTTTCTAGTCATGAGTCCTGGTCCCGACTTGTGTATCATTACAGTAAGTCCTCAATTCATTTCACGTCACACTCTTCAAGTGTTTAAAGATTGCTCTTAGGAATTCTCAGAGTCAAACAGTCTCCATTTCTTCCGCTGTTCTTTACAACATTATTTCCAGAACTTTTACCCATCACTCTGTTTGGGAATATGTTTCATTTTGTAAATTTCTTTCTCAAAGTGTTTTCCCTAGAATGAAGAACATTACTCTGGTTGTGGTTTTCCCAATAAAATGCAATTAAACCATTGCATCTTTTAAAATAAATAGTATATTTCTATTATTTCAGCTCAGGATATCATTAGAGTCTTGGACACTGTAGATTTAGATGAAGCATCTGATGAAGCAAAACCCTTAAAATACATTCTCATGCCATGGATTGAGATTATAATTCAGATTCCTGCAAGTTACTCACCCATGTTGCTCTTTGGCCATATTCATTTATGCTTGTATGTATTTTTTGTTGTTGTTTGTTTTGTTTTTTGAGGTATTGGTGGTCAAACCCGGAGCTTAATGCATGCTAGGCAAACACTCAACCACTGAACTATATATATCCCCAGCCCTGTGTTTTCTTCTTTTCAACTGAATTTTAAGGTCGTACATGTATTCATATTAAATATCTACTTACTGAACTGGTTCATTGTTCTATGCCCTTAAAACAAATTTTATTTTATTTTTTTTTTCATTTTTCTTTTATTATTCATATGTGCATACAAGGCTTGGTTCATTTCTCCCCCCTGCCCCCACCCCCTCCCTTACCACCCACTCCGCCCCCTCCCTCCCCCCCCTCAATACCCAGCAGAAACTATTTTGCCCTTATTTCTAATTTTGTTGTAGAGAGAGTATAAGCAATAATAGGAAGGAACAAGTGTTTTTGCTGGTTGAGATAAGGATAGCTATACAGGGCATTGACTCACATTGATTTCCTGTGCATGGGTGTTACCTTCTAGGTTAATTCTTTTTGGTCTCACCTTTTCTCTAGTACCTGTTCCCCTTTTCCTATTGGCCTCAGTTGCTCTTAAAACAATTTTAAACTTTAAGTGTGCATTCAATATATTTGATATTCTCTCCAGCTTCTTGTCCTCCAGGACTTCTGTAGTTTGCTATTTTATGTTGCCATTGAAGACATGGATATAAATATTGATTAGGCAGTTGCCTAACAACTGCAAGCTAAGTAAATACCTAGTGGTAGATACTAAAAAGGGAACAGTGGTCACTAAGCTAAAAAGCAGAGGTCAAAGAGTGGTAAATTGTCCATGTGGAAAAGAAGATGGAGAAGACCACTTTGGGCAGAGAGCTGGGACCTCTGATGCAAGAGGGTGCATGGCTACTAAAGAAGCTGAAAGATGATTTGCTGGCTGGAAGGTAAGAGGCAGCGCCACAGTGGAAGGGTAGATGGGAGAAAGCCTTGTTTGTGTTAGGGGAGTTGCATTCAGTGCAGAATATGAAACAGCAAACTTACATAATTAGATTTATAAAATATAAGTTTAAACTGATTCTGGGGACAGAGTGGAAGAGGGATTGGATTGTGTCAGGGCAGGAGGCTGGGAGACCAGTTAGGAGGCTGTTGCCCTGTTCTGGGTGAGGAATGGTGGTGAATTCACTATAGAAAATGAATTTGCAGGTCCTGGAGAGTTCCCAGGAATTGATTCCCTGGTTCCTACCCTCCCTCCACCATGATCCTGTGCTGTTGAAAATGAGTGTACTACCTGTATGCCTTGGCTTCCCAAACAGATCTACCTTCCAGGAAAAATGAAGCTGGAGGGGAAGACTCAAGTGTTTCTTTGGTATCTAATTCTCACTGCAAAGGAAAACCTGGCTTTCTATTTTACACCTCAGGCTAGAGAAGCTGGTTAATGTCTAGCAATTTTGGTTCAAGTAGGTCCATCCTTGCATAGAGCAGTGCTAGTTTTGTGGGATAGTTTGGTTGGTACTGGAAGAGAGTCCCATGGTTAAAGCAGTTGGGGAAATGCTGGCCTAGCCAAAGGTAATCAGGCTTCTTTCCTGCAGTGCTGACCTGAGACTTTAATATGCTGCTGTGCTCTATGCAGCTCCTAGAGGGACAATGGTTTGCACACTTAAATAACCATGGAAAATCTTCTCTTTGGAATCAGTACTTTGCAGAATATTCTAAGGGAGATACTCTACTACTTACTAATTATGCAAACTCACACAAGTTATTTCATCTCTCTGAGCTACGGTTTTGCTACCTTTAATATGAGAATGAAAAACCCACCTCACAGAGTGACTGCTACCAAATATATTCTCGCTAAATGTTTAGTGTTGTTGCTGTTGTTAGGAGAGCACAGTGGACAAGAGTATAGGATTTGGAGCCAGACCGCCTGGACTCAAATCCCAAGTCTGCTGTGCATTGTCTTCATGACCTTGGACAAGCTGTGCAAATGTTCTGGGCCTCAGTTTCCTCATGTGCTAAATGGATTTGGTGAGGGGAATCAAACAGAAAATGTACTGAATGCTGTATCCCGGGGTCTGTCATATGCTAAATGCTCAATAGCTGAAAGCAATACAATAATAGCACCAAACATTCAAGGGGAGCCCCAGAGTCAACGAGTTAAAATGCAGGTATTGGAGAGTGCATGCTGGAAGTAACTGAGCAAAGTCAGCATGGTAAAGTATCCCCTCACCACTCCAGAAGCTGTCCAGAGGTGGCCTTTCAGCCCTCCCTGCAAGCACGGCCTTCTCCATTCTTTGGCTGTGTGCAGACACACCTGCTTTGCTCTCTTGAGTTTCTACTGGCCGGTGAATCCTTTTCTCCTCTCCATTCTTAGAATGCATTTCTCTATTT